TACATGGTCTCTTCCACACTCATTAATCTTGCCATTCAAATCTTTCTTGTCCTCAACTTTCTCTTTGAAGATTTTTTTGAAGAAACCTTCTTTATCACCATCTTCTAAAATCTTCTTCGCTTTTTCCCCACTTTCGTTTTTCTCACTTCCATCCTTTCTGTCCTCAGGTCTCTCCTTAAAAAATTTCCGGAAAAACCCTTCATTTTCATCATCCTCAAAAGCTTTTGAGTTGGGTTGGTCATCCACATCATTTTTGCTGTCACGAAATAAACGTTTAAAAAATCCATCAGAGCTGGTGGTATCCTCGTCATCCTTACTAGTACTCAAAAGCCTCCGAAAAAATCCATTCTTTTCCGAGCCTTCTTCGTCTTTCTCGATAGACTTTCTAGAATCTTCATCTCTACTACTACTTAGAAGTCTTTTAAAAAACCCATCCTTTTCTAACTCATCTTCATATTTGCCTGTCAATTTCTTACCATCCTCATCCCGACTATCCCTTAGCAACCTCTTAAAGAAACTGTCCTTCTCAGATTCCTCATCATCTTTATCTACTGGTGCTTTCCTGCTGTCATCATCTTTACTATCCCTTAAGAGCCTCTTGAGAAAACTATCCTTATCTGGGCCTTCATCTTCCTTTTCTGCAGACTTCCTAAAGAGCAACGCATCTCGTACTTTTGGCCCTGGTATCAGCTTCTTAAGTATTTTATTCTCCTCAGGAGTAGATATTTTGCTCCCACCACTCTCATCAAGTTGTGAATGGTCCGTTCCTGAACTGGGGGAAAGGGACAATGACCTCTGTATGGCTGGAGGAGGGGACGCCAATGATAACAGTCTCTGCTTGGAAAACAGTAACTTATTAAGCATCAGGTTCTTTCCAGTGGGACTTAATGAAGTGACATTGTGTGGCTTTATTAAGGGCGGCCACTCTCCCCTTAAAGTAGCAGCAATCTGACACTTCTCCTGAATCCTACTGATGCCCTCATTATCATCTATATCCTCCAACTCAGCAATCAGAAACCATTGCACTTTCAGGGCAATCTGAAGCGATTTAGTGCACATATCAATCACGAACTTATCCAGAGAGGGACTCGGCTTATGAACCATCATGTAGCAAATCTGGAACATGTAGCTCTCTATGCCCGAGAGTGGAAGCGTGTACATCCTGTTGCAGAGATAGTCTCGAACACCAGGATGGTCATGCTTGTAGAGGTAGCTCACAGCGATCCACTCGCAGAAGAATGCGGAATCAAAGAAGCGGATGAGCCACCCGCTCTCTCCAATAGACTCGCTAGTAGGAATAGTTCGGGTGATCTCCCGAGGCTCAGCTGGCTCGCCTCTCGTCAAACCAAATAGCCTCGCCATTGTTACACCACCATCCCTTCACAAAACCCACTTCCTCTCTGTAATGCACATGCACCTGTAAGTAAAACTAACAATTTCCAATACTTAAATTGGAACCCTGGCGAGCCCCAAACACTGAAAACCCCCCTTAACCCACTGGATTGATAGAACTACAATAAGAGCAGAGGATACTATATCCGGCAAGTTCAACAAATTCCTGATAAGGAAACTCTCTGAGATTATTTTTTCGGTGGAAATGAGAGATCGGCGAAATGGATCGGCGAAATGCAAGAAGAAGAAGATGGCACGTCGAGGAACGACGTCGTATGATATTTTCTTTGACGAACTCCGTCTGCAAATGACGCCTAAGATGAGCTAATGGAGAGAGTGCATATTACAAAAATCTACGTGTAAGAAGGATAGGGCGGTACTAAGCCGTTTGATAGTTTACCGGTAGGAAAAGTAAAAAAAATTTGAAAGGAGAAAAGTAAATTTACATGAATCTAGTTTATCTTTTTTTTTATTAAAAGCGGGTGTTATATTGAAATCGAGAACACGTACGAGACAATCTTCTAACAGAATTTATAGATCTAATCGTGAATCTTAAGAGTAAACTAGTCAATCACCTCATACAAAACAATATGGCTTGCTAAATTTGAAACGTGCAAATTTAGGTCTAAAGCGATCGGAACCGAAACACTGTCTATCAAAAGAATACCAAAAATCCAAACATCCAAAGCAAACCTACTCAGACTACAATAAAAATAAGTACTACTAAAGAGAAAATAATATTGAAATAAGGTCTTTCCACAAAACTCTTCCTGGTACGGAGGTGGACGAGCTCTTTCAATAGAGGTAAATACTAACACCACCGACATCAGAGCGGCCCATAGGCCCACCATGCAACCTAAGAATTTCGAGTGGATGTTTCAGTGATGTATGATTTTAACAAGCAAGATGAGGCCTTATAAGAAGTCTCAATATACTGCAAACGTTACAAAGCCCTGAGACCGTTCATACAATGTTATGCTAGGAGCTAGTATGAATACTATAATGCTACAGTGCTAAGTTGCCAACCTCTAGAATGAAATAAATGCTACTATTTCTACTACCAAGGGGTAGTTAGACATGCTGACGTGGTGGGCTGTGAATGCCTAGGATCTCAACCACCAAATCTTCTGCAATAAATGCGCCTCCCGCCAGAATCTGATTTTCCCGGCTAGTTGTGGGGATGACCGTCCCCATGAGCATGCCTCCTGGGTTCCGCCGGCCCCAAGTTATTGAGTCCGAGCATCTCGCGCTGCTCCTGGGCTAAGGTACTTGCCTGCCCTTGGATACGTGCGTCCTCTAGGCCTTGATGATGTGAGATGGTTATGTTGGGGATGAACCTCGCCACGATCCGAGAGAAGGCACCCCGATTGACTTGGGTTTTGGGGGGACGTTCGTCGAGTGACCCTTTAGGGTTGATGGGCTAACCCCAGTTGGGCCATTAACCCAACAACCGATAATACAACTATCACTTCTTTTGGACTACATGAGATGGTATTAAACCATCACACAATTGTTTGTTCCCTTCATTCAGGCTACCTACTCACCATTACCGCCCTAGTTCGGTTGCTCTACGCTTGACGATTGTTAGTAAAGTCATTCATGTTATGTAGTTAACATTTGCTTATCATTGACTAGCGCTAGTAAGTTCTCCTAACATGTGCCTACAATTTTCTTTGGCGGTGAGGCCATTAAGTCTAATGCCCAACAACGAGTAGGTGATGGTGACTCTAGAGTGCTAACAAACCGCTGATGTCCTTCCTATGTATCTCGTGTTGTCCGACGAGCTCTTCCAATTTGATTAGCGATAGGGGTATGTGATGGTATCCATAGACCGTTAATGAACAATTAATGTCCTTCCACTGTGGTTTGTGTTGTCCGGCGAGCTTACAGTCCAATGAGAAACATGTGTGGGAGTTTGGCGAGGCATGCAGGTGACAATCAAGCTAAGCACTGTCGGCAACCTCAAGTCAGGTGTTCCCAGTGATTACAACGTCTTACAAATCGTACGACGGTCAATACATGACAGTTATCCCGGTGCTCCACGGTGATGAATCATTGACTCCTCTAGGCCATGAGTAGTTGGTGATCACAAGTTGATCGTGGTGGTTTGGCAATCCCTTCATAGAGTTCGGCGGTGACACTGCGTCTAGCATGCGACGATCAAAGGATGATGGGCACATTGCGTTTCACACATAGGTGGCTGTGTTCCATCGCATGCCAAAGGTGATGCCCTAGTGAGATAATGAACCGAGCTTGATCATGTTGATCTAGGTCGTGGGTCTAGACTCGAGGGTCCAAGTTCAGGGCTTGAGTCGATTAGACCCTGGGTCTATTCTCATAACGCCATCAAATTATGCACATTGTTGGAGAGACTTTAATTGTTTTTCTAACTTGTGCATTTTGCTTTCACATGTTTCAATTCTACTAGATAATATTGAATTCAATTAAAGGATTTTTTATTCAAATAAATGAATACCCACAATACAATTTTTTCGGTAAACACCGGTCAATATAAGAAAGTGATAGTTATAACGAATACTAATATATTTAAATTAATAAAATATGGTATATATAATATAAAAAATTGTGTCTAGAACAATATACAATATTTCTTTAAATTATTCTTTAAACAAATTACAATATTTCTTTAAATTTTAAATTAGTTCATGAGATTTAAAATATACTCCCTTCGTCCCATTGGACTTTGACAATTTTTCCTTTTTTTTGTCACAAAAAACTTGTCACTTTCCCATTAAAGTAACTATTTTGTGGTTCTGCTTATTTCTCTCTCCTCTGCATAAATTTCAACCACATAAGTTTTACTATTCTTATTTCACATCTAATTCAAGGAGTGCAAGGTCTATTGAGACGAAGGTAGTATTAGTTATAATTTATTACTAACTTGAACATTTACTTTCCGGTTTACACTATTAACAACCTAGTTGGTAATTGATATTTTCAAATTATCGGTCTTACCTGTCAATGTTTTATCAAACATGCAATTTTTGTGATTGAACTGATCGAAGTTACTCTAAAATATCATTGTAGCTATTTTTCATAACCCCCCCTATTTATCAATAGAAAATATTTTAAATATAATATTTCCACGAGTCAGCAAATTAGTGAAGTCGGTCCATCCAACCGGAGTTTTATCAGTTTGAGTAGATTCAACCCATGCAGAGTGTGCCAAATTAAATTTTTTAGACCCTGTTTGGTGACCCTTTTTTCCAGCTTATCAATCAACTTTTACACCAAACACATAACTTTGATTTCACGCGCTGAATTGTGTAATAATAAGAAAATGTAAGGTTGTAGTTACTTTTTTTGGCCGTATTGGCTGAAGTTACTATAAAGAATCATTTGAGCTATTTTTTCATATATTTTTTATTTATTTTTTAATAAAAATATTGTAAATATAATTTTTTCATAAATCAGTTGAACTAGCTTATCCGACTACTTCAACCAGAATTTCATAAATTTCAGCATAATCAACCGATTCAGCCAAACAGACACTTAAAGTTATTGGCCCAAAGTATTTGATCCAAACGGACACGTAAAGTTATTGGCCCAAAGTATTTGATCCACTCCAATTAGAAAATCACAGGCCCAGAATCTGGAATAACCTAACCCTACTTCCATCTTTCAGCCAGACGGTCATATACTATATCTCCGTTTCCATCTCCTCCATTTACACCCTACCCCTCAAGTCGCAGTCTACACCACGTCGATCGTCTAATATATTGAGGTTAGTCGATTATTACATATTGCTTTTATATCTTATCAACAGTGAATAGATCAAACCTAGAGGGTGTTGTTAAGGTCCGTTCTTTCTTTTTCCGATTATGTGTTTCAGTTGACGACTGTATCAAGATTAAGTGTTTTAAGCACACATTTTCAACATTCAATTTATGTACTTACACTTATCTGATTATTGTGGTAGTGATTATTAACGTAATTATGCAAAAATATTAATCGTTACATTTTTAAAAACATTTTGTGGACAAAGCCATCATTCTTCTATTTATTTATCATCTTTAAAACTGCATACATATCTAAGTTTACATCACATCTAGATAAGTGGGGAGTGCAAATCCTTTGGTTGTTTTTTCTCTACAAAAGCCATTTTTTCATTTGATTTAAGTTGTTATTTGTCTGCTGTTTGTCTTAAAAGGTTGGGATTTGTAGTGGTATTTCTATTATGTAACATGGAAAATCTTTGTAAAAGGTATGTACATATCATATTTTAAAAGGGTTACACCAAACTATATATACATATTTTAAAGCCTGTCTACTAATCTAAACCATAGACCCATTCACACCTTGTATCCTCAGTTTTGAGTTTTGTTGTTTAAAAATTATTTCACTTTGCTTAAATTCAGAGTATTTCTATTTTTATTGCCTGATTTCAGGATACGCACATGTATCGTGTTTTGTTGGTACTCACAAACACATGCTTGTTTTCTATTTCAATAACTATGTAACGGTTCTGCACTTGAGGCTTGTTTCTAATACAAACGTATATGATTTGATTCACCCACCTATAAATTTGATGATTGTGTTCTTATACCTCATTCAATATTCATGTATTAGATTCACTACGTCAGCAACAACGTTTGATTATTCTTCAATTGCATCTTAACTTAAGTGTTGTATTTCCAATTTGGTAAATTGATTTTGTGAATAACATAGTTTTCTGAAATCTCCATATTAACAAATCATTTTTAATTGAATTTTCCACTCTCTCTTTGAGGTATCATTCCAGTTTGTGTTTATATATATATATATATATATATATATATATATGTATGTATGTATATATATATGTGTGTGTGTGTGTTTGCATCTGTGTTTTTGAAATCTATTTAGACACAAACATATCCTTAATTTGTATTGTTGTTCACTAAAAATCATCTCAATTACTCTGCGATTTCAAATTATTTCATTTCTTCTATAATCCTCGTGAATTCAAAGGCATTTTTGTAATATAACACATGTAGTTCAATGCAGTACCAATAAATTAACAGTTTTAATATAGCTGATTACATAGTCATTTATTTGATTCATGACTTAACCAACAATGTTTGATTATACCCCTATATCATGTTTGCTTGGATGTTTTTCCTCGAAACTGTTGAAATCATTTCATGCATTACGTAGTTCTCACATACTTTAATTGTTTGTTTTGTTTATATAAATTTGCTTAAGTCTTTTTTATTTTGTTCAAGCAAATAAAATGGTGGGATTTGTATTACACAAATAGGTTCGATGTAATTTGTATGATTTAATTCAGAATCTTGTTTCACCTGTTACTTTCAGTGAATCCATTTTGAAATTTATTGTCACTCCCTAAAATTATTAAAGCAATTGAGAATGTTGTTTTACTTGTTTTAATCTGAAATATTTTTTTATAATATTTCCTTGCCCTTTACTGTTATCCCCAGTTTTCCATCAGTGTGTTGGACCTTTTCGTTTTGAATTTATTCTCACTCAAATCGGTTGTTATTCCTTAACATTCTGTCCGTAAGTATTTTTCCTTATAATTAAAACTGATTTTCCTGCAATTAGGAACTATATTAACTACCCTATTTTCTTAACACCTTTCCGTTTGTCCATACCTATCTGTAGCTCAAATCTAGCTACAATGACTTTCAAGCGGAGGAATGGAGGTCGCAATAAGCATGGCCGCGGCCATGTCAAATTTGTCCGTTGCTCCAACTGCGGAAAGTGCTGCCCTAAGGACAAAGCCATCAAGAGGTTTCTTGTAAGAAACATTGTTGAACAAGCTGCTGTTAGAGATGTCCAAGAGGCTTGTGCTTTTGAATCATACACTCTTCCAAAGCTCTATTTGAAGGTGCAATACTGTGTTTCATGTGCAATTCACTCTAAGGTTGTCAGAGTTCGCTCGCGCACTGATCGGAGAAAGCGAGAACCTCCACAGCGTCTATTCAGACGCCCAATGGACAATGCCACTCCTAAGCCTGGTCTGGCACCACGCACTGCTGGCGCTCCCCCAACTGCTGCCCGTACATAAAAGCGGTCTGCATCCAGAGATCATGTTACATCTCCATCTTAAATTAAAGTTGTCATTTTGATACTGTGTTTTTTCCTTGAATATTTTGTTTTAGTTGGAAAATCATGACACTTTCATTATTGTCTTCAGAATCGCGAGATAAACTAAATGTTATGCCATGCTAACTTCCAAATGCTTACATATTTTGAAGGCTTAATTACTGCTCATGACTCAACCTTTAAAATTTTAAGGTAACCCCGGGTCTGGGCCGGGCCTCGGTTTTTTTTTTTGGCTTTTCCTAAATCCTAATTAACCCCCAACCCTCCCCCTCACCCCCAAACCACCTCAAATGGCCCATCATGTCCAGCCCAACCCAAAAACATAAAAAAATTCAAAAAAATAATTTAGCCTGGACCGGGCTCAAACTGGCTGGGCCGGTTCACGATTTAGGAGGCCCTAGCCCGCCTACCTCACTGGGCCGGGTGGTCTGAACCGGGCACCAACTGGTTCACCAGGCCGGTTTGGGCCAGCACAGTAGCGGGCTGGTCCGGGACCGCACAATAGCGGGTTGGTCCGGTTCCGGGCCGGTTGGCCTGGCCCGAGTCCACTCCTAAATAAGGTCTCCCTTTTCCTGTTTAAGTGTTACGAGTTAGATACAACATATTATTAAACATACAACACACCTGTTCACAAACACATACTCCCTTCGTCCATTAAAACTTTGTCATCTTTCCTTTTTGGGACGTCCCAAAAAACTTTACCACTTTCCATTTTAATCAATTATTTTGTGGTTTCTGTTATTTCTTTCTCCTCTGCACAAACCTCAACCACACAGTTTTTACTTTATTATTCTCCGTGTCGGTCAACTTTGGCAAAGTTTTAAGGGACGGAGGTAGTACATAACATTACAAAACATCTTGTAAAGACCCTTTACAAATAGAATACAAAATCTTATATTCATAACCGTAAAACACAATACAATCATCCAATATTCATAACAAGTAATCATCTAATATTCATACTCGAACACATGAAGACAACATACAAGAGTTTAGAAGAGAAAATACGTAAAATGTTGTAAATTGTTCCTACAACATCTACTGTGCAAGAAAAACTGCAATACAAAAAGGCAAACTACAAGTTCTCATGGTCATCTTGATCATCGTGGTCATGGAGATGTTGCTGCTGATGTCTACGCCTACACCGTGGTCGTGGTTGAAGAACCACTCTCTCATGTTGTGTCTGAGATGATGAAGTCGCTGCTGCACTAGACGTCGATGACATCTCCTGTGATGGGGGCATGTGTATAAGATGGCCGTAGTCGACTCGCCCCAACACATCTGAACACAAGAAAACAATGTCTGTCAGAGTCTGTCCATACATGTCCACATCATGAGTATCACCGAGTGTGACAGTAGTCCGCTGATGTATACGCTGCAAAGCTCGTGTCTGAAATATGAAACACAATTACAATTACATTGAAATACATACAAGTATTAACTAAATAAAATGACTTACTTTACTAATTAGTAATATACTCACCGTAATATGCAAAGCCAAGGAGCTAGGCTGATAATGATGAGTAGGGAGTCTGAACGAAGGAGACACAAACAAACGAGTGATGCTGTAATACTATCCCATGTAGTCTCCTGAAACAGATGAGACAAATGTCGATGTCCCAGTCACAACTAGCTCAGCTCGCCTGTCCCACAGAGCGACGTATTGGACATGTCTGAGTGCCCAATCCTCCGTATGCTTCCCACGCCTATCCAGCTTATGAAGCTCTCCATAAGTGTTGATAGGTTGTGGAATGACCTGCTCAAACCCAAACTGTCGCAAGACTCGATTAGGCAAATGAAGCTCAACAATGTCAAAACATATCAACGACACATGTGCTCGTCATATGTGACTATGCTCTCGTCCAGCTGGGGGCAATTCTGCAAACATCTCACCTGTATACGACATCCATGTAATTCGTTTTATAAAGATACAAAATTAGTATTTATGCTATACATATTATAGCATATGTTATATTACCCACACGATACCTGATCCTCAGACATCCGATCAAATGCATCCCTGTAGACACCGAGCCCAGTAGCGAATGACATGCGACTTAGACCAGCAAATAGCCATCTAACGATTCATGTAACCGTTTCATTAATATGGATATTATTAATATACTTACATTCAACATACAATAACATAAATACTAACGATTGAAAACATACCGACGGCTTAGTGGGTCCTCGCTCCGTACATGATGTGGTCCCAGAAGACGTGGATGCTCATCAAGGAGTGAGTGTCCATCAATGCCATGATATGCGACTACAAGGGGACGCCCAATGTGGATATACTCTCATGACCAAATCTGGAGGAGTAGCAAAAATCCTCCAAGCTATGTGCTCCCTCTATGACAGCCGCGATACAGCTGTCTGTAGAGATAAGCCAGCGTGGCACTACCCTAACTGAACTGTGCTGCTACATCAAACCTCTCTAGCATAGGCAAGTGCAACACCTGAATCTCATTTCCACTCTTGTCAGCGAAAATGGAGGCTCCCATCATCATCATCAAGATATATGCCCGCGCATGCTGCTGGATCATCACCTCATCAGCGTCCGGATGAAGCACCTCGAAGTGCTCCCTCAACCATGACATCCTCAGGGATGACCCCTGAAGGGATGACCCCTGAAGGTCAGTCCGAAGAAGGGGGCGGACACCTAACAACCGCTCACACTCATCTACCAACTGTCGACAAGGAGTGCCTGTAACAGCTCTCCCATCAACCTGTAGCCCAGTAAGTACAACAACATCTCCCAAGGTCTCTGTCACCTCACCAACAGGGAGGTGAAATGTGTGTGTCCTGCCTCCAACGCTCAAGAAGAGCGGTGAGTAGCGCTCTATCGAGAGGGACAGTAGCCACCAATCTATGCAAACCATAAAAACCCGCAACACGAACATATGCAAATACTATGTCGTCCACGTGCATATGCGACAAACCCCGCAGGTGCTTGCGACACCTATCCACCTGAACATCGAGACCAAGCCAAACATCCTCTCTCTTGTGCGAGGCCTCCAATGCCAGAACAGAACGATCACTCGGCCCAGGATCCGCTGTCACCTCCATGCCTACAAACAAACAATTCTTAATTCGTATTAGTTAATTTTTACTATTATACTAATCCTTTTTTTTTTAATTAATTTTTTAATTAAGTTTTACTATTAATTTTTTTAATCGAAGACAAACTACGTTATACACATATGATTCCCATCAACATGATCATTAACAACAAAAGCTTCAAAAAGACCATAAGCTTGAAACCCAAATTCATAATCTTCATTACAACAATACAACCAAATTCAACAACCAAATCAGTACCCACATACAACCACACAACACCTAAACACGTGCTAATATATCCTACTTCCGAGCAAGATGATAACAAACAACCTGAACCACACTACATTCCAGGAGAAAGTCTCATTGCCTTTCTTTGACATCTTAAGTTCCTCTTCCATAATTTGGAGTTTCAAAAGAGAAATCCCACGAACACAGCTCTTGATTTCAGCTTGCATCTCTAATTCTTTCATCCGGAAATTCTCTTCAACACTGGTAATCTTCTGGAGCAAGGTCTCTATCCGTCTCAGGCAAGTACCACATTCTTCATCCTCAACCCATTCAAAGAAATTGCACTTTTGACCACTCAAGAAACGACCGCACCCATAAAATCTTTCCTCCCTGTTTTTGTCTGTTGTAGCAGTCCACACTGGTGCTTGGAGTCCACAGTCACAACTCTTAATTCGCGTTATTGCATTCATCGACCAATACTCAGCACTCGAAGAACTCATCGCCGTCTTACTCCCCTATCTTTATTTCCTTCACCGACGTCTTAGGACTGCCTTAAACAAGAGGCTGGAGGGTTTTAATAATTAAGCAGAAAAGAAAAGCCACATGTATATGCGTAAAAGAACCATTTCAAATTTAACCAAATAAATGATGCCACGTGTAAGGGCCGGTGCCCCAGGTGAGATAATGGAGTGAAATCTTCATTTAGATATCGAGTTTGTCTTCAAATTTTCAATAGAAAAACTACCAAAATTCTAATATATCCAAAAGTCATAATTCACAAAGACCTCACATTTCAATATGAAAATACCCAAATTTTGATATCTACATTCAAGTCTACATTTCAATACCCAAATTTAGCTACATTCAAATCTACCTAAATGCTCAAATGTCAAAATACACTTTAAAATTTACAATCAATTTAAAATCAAATTTCAACATTTCATACATATCCACATTTCACAACAACTCAATTCACAATCAATTCATAATCTAAAAATTCGAAAATTTTAACATTCAAAACCCTAAGTTCAAAATGAGATGAAATGAAGTTTGATTTACCTACAAGAAAGAAGAAAGAGTGTTGAAGATGAAGATGGAGGTTTGCCGGAGTGGGGTCGCCGGAGATGGAGGTTCGCTCGGTGGTCGTTCGTCCTCCGTCGCTGCGGTTTGGGGGATTTGGGGATTGAGTTTACGTCGTTCTGTTTTGTGGCTGACCGACATTTGTACTTGAGGGAAAGTCGCCCAACCGTTGGGCGACTTATAAGTCGCCAAACCGTTTGGCAACTTATAAGTCGCCCAACCGTTGGACGACTTACCCCGACCACGGTTAACCCAACAGTATATAGGTAAATACTTTTAACTCAACCCAATTTTCATAACTAATTAATTAATTATCATTAATACGAAAAAAACATTCAGATAACATTCCGGAAGAGTGTGGAATGGTGTGGAATCATTTAGAACATTCTGGAGATGTGTGGAACCATCCGGAATGTTATGTAAGAGTATGGAATCATATGGAAGGGAATGGAGAGGTGTGGAGATTCAATTCCTTGAAATTATCTATAATAGGTAATCATGTGTAGATCATTCCATAGAACTACTCTCCACCACTCATTATGGAGGTGGAGTAGTATAAATAGGAGTAGGAGTCTCCATTCATAACAATCCTAGCTAACAGTGAATCCACTTCTTAGAGTGATAAAGTTAGAGAGCCTCTTTGTGAGAGAAGAGAGATAGCTTGAGAACTTCCTATCCTCAAGGTTGAGAGAGTAACTTTTGACTGAGACAATTTTGTATCATTCTTGTAAATCCTACTATTCTTTTGTATAGTGGAAGAATCTCCATTGGAGAATTTAAATCATGTGCTCCCATTACTACCTTAATTCCTAAGTGCTTTTCTTAACATCACGAAGCGGGAAAGTCCGGAGTTTTTCCCAACGGTAGTATCAGAGCCAGGTTCATCAACAAGTCGTCATAAGCTCGTGCAGCTTAAGATGGAGGATAGTGTCGCCCATGATGGAGACATGTTCAAGCTCACCGCCAACAACTACTCATATTGGAATCCGATGATGGAGGATCATCTATACTGCAAGGGTTTGCATGAGCCCATCATCTACAAAGAGAAGGTGGAAGGCAAGAGCGACGCTCAATGGGAGCTACTGAATCAGAAGGCCGTTGCTATGATCCGTAAGTACATCGACAAATCCCTCTTCGAGCACGTGTCCACTTACACGAATGCTTATGAATTATGGACAAAGCTCGAGTCCACGATTCAAAAGAAAACACCTCGTAGTAAGGCCAATTTAGTTCGACGGTTGGTGAAGTTGGAGTATAAGGATGG